TTTATACATATACAGGGTGTTCCATAATTGTATGCTGATTCTTAAGGGCGATACTCATGAATGATTTCGAGAAAATTTCTTGATGTGATCGTAGGTCCGTAACAGCTTCTTTTCTGAGAAACAGGATGTTGAAGTCTAACAAAAAATCAGTTATTTCCCAATATCTCTGAAACCGCTCTGGCTTCTTTCTTCTATTTTGGTACATGCCAAGTATGCATAAAAATACATTTTTTCCAGTGGCGTCCCTGTTAAGATACCCTGTTATATTTTTCTTTTTCATCAAAATAATAATATGCCACTGTTTTTATCTCGAATAAATATTATTTTCGTAATGAACCTCTATCTTCTCTCAAAAATGGCCTCCTGTCTTTCTTTCGTCTGGCGAACGGTTTATCATCTAGAAAATTGAATGCATTCATTTGCTTGTCACTATTAAATTTTTCCTTCCAGTGTCAATTTCACCATACTTTTTCTTATGTTCTGGTTTTCACGACGAGAGATATCCTGTAATGTTCAGAGAACATCGTGAGAAACAAGGGAAATAAGTTAGGAATTGGTGTTCTTCTTGAATTTCTGGAGTTTATATGCCTCGGGGAATACCTCCCTTAGCAATATGTTCCAGAGCCTCGCTGTTCGTTGGATAAACGAGTCTTTGGAGAGAGATGTTCTGCAGGTCTCCAAAGTGACCACGAAGGGGTGCGAAGCCTCGACTCGACGGGTTAATCTCGCGGGGACTGCCAAGGGAGGTACAATTGTTGATATTTCAGAAGAGCATCGTCCATGAAAATATCTCCGAAATAGGGCCAGATCGCCAACTTGTCTACGGTGTTCCAGAGAAGTGCGAGTGAGTGTTTGGTAACCAGAAGATCTAAGCAATATTTTTATAATGGTACCTATCATTAAGTTTTTCTAATGAGTACACATAGAAATAAATTTTTATGTTCAAAATCAAATTAAGTGTTCAAAATTTCCGCCTCTTGCAAGTATGCACGTTTCAGTCCTCCTCACTCGCGTACTATTTGGAAGATTCCTGGAGTATTTCCAACAGGTAATGCATGTCTGCTAATTCGGTATTTGTAGAATTTACCATATTTTTTTCTCAATAAAAAAGTTTTTGTAATGTGAAAAATATCACGTATCTACCTAAAGAAGTGTCAAATCTGTTTATGTTGAAAACAACGAAATAAGTTCTTAGTTCCTATTACTCTTTAACGTCTAATTTTGCATAGTGAGAAGCAAATTAATGCATTTTTTCTGCAACCGACACAAAAGTCGTCCATTTTGATACCAAAATTAGCTCTTAAATTGACGTTTCTACTACTGACACAAAAATAGATATGTTGCTAGGCAACAAATTTAGTTCCTAGGAGCTGAAGTTGAACTTTAGCTCCTAGGAACTAAAAAGGAAGTACTGGACGTCATCCAGAAAAAACAACTTTGTTACGGTTGGTTATTTGGGTTGAGACGCATACCTGATTTGTTTCAGATATCGGCAGATTTGGCATTTCATACCCATGCTGGAGATATAAATACATCTTATTATAGTTAAGTATTGGAATTATAAACATCTCAGTTAAGTATTTTTGTTTTGATCGGGGAAGCCTTGCTGGATCTGTATTTCATTCGTTATTCTCGGGATGGATAACTTTTTTTTGAATAATCACGGCAAGCAATAGTTTTTTGTCTCAAACAACGATATTGTTATTATTGTTGATATGCTCACTAACCTAACATTTTCCACGTCTTGTTCTTATAACTGGCACTGGCGCGGTATTTACCATTAGAGAACCTGGTCCATACACAAATATGTCACTCTGTGGTTGTATTTATATTGAAACTACAGTTCGAACATCCTTGAAAATTGACTGAACCTGCATTTGATGCAGGTAGAATGTTCTCACTACACGGATTATTTGTCAATATTTGTTGTATTGCATACATATGGCACGGCATCGGTGGTAACTTCACATATTTATTCGAGTTAATTGTTTCGGTTGCAGAAAAAATAGCATGTTCCATTCGGATCAGAAGTGACTTTGTTCGACTCGCAAATTTTGCTTTCGCTCGGCTTCGCTGAACGCTCCGCCTCGCAAATGCAAAATTCGCTTGTCAAACAAAGTGTCACTTTTGATCCTAATAAAACAATCTTCTATTATTTTCTAACTCAAGAACCGTTCGCCGGAGGAAAAAAGACAAGAGAACATTTTTATGGGAAGATAGACAGATTACAAAACTAATATTAATTTGAGAAAAATACAGTGCAGTATCATTATTTTGATGAAAAACATGACAGCGTATGTTAACAGGGACGCCACTGATGAAAATTCAGGAATCTTTCATCATGGAAAAAATGTATTTTCATGCATACTTGGCATGTACCAAAATTGAAGAAAAAAGCTAGAGCGGTTTCAGAGATATTGTTGAATAACTAATTTTTTTGTTAAATTTCAACATCCTGTATCTCAGAAATGGAGCTGTTACTTACCTGTGTTCACATAAATATTTTTCATCCAAGGATTATCGCGCTTCATGATCAGCATTCAACTGTGAAACACCCTGTATAATAGAAACGATCCTGGAGATTCAAATTCGTCACTATCAGTGAGGAGAATTCGATGGGGACTATCCACCCAAGCCTTTGTTGTTATGAGAGAAAAGTTAATAGGCGAGGTTCAATATTATTGTCTGTTCAACGACCCACAAAATGGCTGCCTGTCAATGGCGCTGCTTTATTGTGAAGTGTTAATAGCTCATTTGATTCAATGATTGAATATTCTTGTATATCGACAATAGACGAGTGGACTACTTTTTTATTTCTTGAATAAAATCATCACTCAAATACCTTTCGATTTAATATTTTTTATGAATTTTTTGGTCAATTTTCAGGTGCTAAAATCATCAAAAATGAAACCGTAATTTTCAAACGGTCAGGAATTTACCGCCAGTAAAAACTAACGCCACGATTTCGTAAGTAGGAGCAGACGATAGCACAGTTGTTGCCATGTGATGAAATACGATTGGGAACTTCAGAAATATTATAGTTATTCGATAATTCATACATTCTCAATTGAGTATTGGTACTATCATTAGGTTCGTATAGTTCAGAGATGAAAACAATTTCACGAGGAGTCCCTCAAGGGTCGGTCTTGGGCCCTATCCTCTTTTTGCTCTATGTACATGATATGGCTTCTCTGGATATATCTGGAAGGTTCACACTGTTTGCGGATGACACTACTGTTTCGTGGCACAATGCAGATCCTGCCACCCTGGTCCAACCCATTACAACAGATTTAGGAAAAATTAAAACGTGGTGTGATGCGAATATGCTGTCAATTAACATTTCGAAAACAAATCTGATAACATTTAAGTGGGACTTAGAATTAGATCAGATAACTCTAGGATCTCAATTGATTACGAGCAAACCTGTTACAAAATTCCTAGGCATACACATTGATAGTACTTTGAAATTTGAGTCTCATATAACAGCTCTAAAAAAAACCTGTCATCTGGTTGTTACGCCGTCAATGTTATATCCCGTGAACTTGGGCTGTCAGCTTCACTAACTGCCTATTACTCGTTCATTGAAGCTCATTTACGGTATGGAATTCCATTCTGGGGGAATTGCAATCAAACTCTGTTGCAAAGTATATTCGTGCTACAGAAACGTGCTCTGAGATTTATATTTAAAGTCAAGATGCGAGAATCGTGCCGCCCGATTTTCTCCGGATACAAAATTTTGACACTAATAGAAATCTCCATTCTAGAGACGACTTGTTTATTGCATAAATACAGAAGTAACTTCCTTATCACTAATGTAGAGAGGCCTACTCGGCAGAAAAAAAAAAACTTGCTACCCCAATTCCCACTTCATCCTTGACAAGGAAATCTCTCATTTACAGAAGTAAGCAGGTGTACAATCATTTACCAACGGAAATTACAAGTATAAATGATATGAAACACTTGAAAAATAAAGTTTAAAAACTTCTCAAAGGGAAATGTTTTTATACCTTAGAGGAATACTCAGCTTATAGGTTCTAGTCTTTCCATGTGAAGTGAACTTTGGTATATTTTCTTGTTTTTTTATAAATGTAAAACCTATATATTGTTGGTCAGCCACGTCAATACGTAAATGTGTCTCGTTTTTTATATTATTATTTTATTTTATTCGTAAATTTATTTCTTACAGCAGGTATATATATTGTTGGGTGGACTTCTATTTTGACTTCGTCGACAAAATGTAATCATTTTAGATAATAAAGCATATTTGATTTGATTCGATTTGATTTTCCTAATTATTGACCACTGCTGCTGCAATTCACAATTGCCCCCTAACCGAATGCGATTCCCCAGTCCTCTTTGATTCCTTCTCGCCGATCATGATAGTGGGGGCATTCTTGTTGCCGCTGACTATCGTGGAAATTGTCGAGGCTTCCACGACCCTCAAATTCTTGATGTCATACTAATAAATATTCACCTTGCAGTCAATCAACACATTTCTATACGTGGTTTCTATTTCAAATTGAATTGTCTAGCTCTTATGTATTTTTTCCGAACAGACGATATTGTACCTCGCCTACTAGGTTTTCATTAAGAACGACAATGCCCTCAGAAACTAACATTATCTGTGTCAGGAATGAGTGACCATTAGATTGAAAATTGACCATCGCTGCAAATCATGATCGTCTTCTATATGATCTCGATTCCCCAGTCTTCTTTGATCATGTTCAATGCCTTCTCGTCGATCATGATAGTGAGGGCATTCGTGTTGCCGCTGACTATCGTAGGCATTATTGAGGCGTCCACGACACTTAAATTCCTGTGCCAAACTAATTAATATGCACCTTGCAGTCAATCAACACACTTCTATACTTGGACAACTGCTGCCTTCAGATTGTTTTTGAGTTTTGCTAACACAACATCGTTTCTATTTCAAATAAAATGGTCTATCTCTTATGTATTCACCACCCGAAATGATAATATTATACCTCGCCTACTAGGTTTTCATTAAGAACGACAATGCCATAGGAAACTAACATTATCTGTGACAGAAATAAGTGACCATGGGATTGAAAATTGACCACCGCTGCAAATTATGATCGTCTTCTATATGATCTCGATTCCTCAGTCTTCTTTGATCATGTACGATGCCTTCTTGTCGATCATGATAGTGGGGGCTATCGTGGGTATTATCGAGGCGTCTACTACTCTCAGATTACTGATGCCGTACACTTTGAGACTGGAGACCACCACCGCGTCAGTTCGACCAAGTTAACTTTGAGACACCACGTAACTCAAGGCTTGAGCATTATCAATACAGACGCGATCACGTTCTGTCGCGAACTTAACGTGGTCGGACTCTACAGCTACACCCATCTTGCAAGTCGAAACTAACCTATCTGTGACAAAAATAAATATCCAGGATATTGAAAATCGACTACCGCTGCAATTCATAATCGCCCCCTAACTGATCTCGATTTCCCAGTCTGATCATGCCCGATGCCTTCTCTCCGATCATGATAGAGAGGCATTCTTGTTGCCGCTGACTATAGTGGGCATTGTCGAAGCGTCCACGGCGCTCAAATTCCTGATGCCATACTGATGAATATGGACCTTGCAGTCAATCAACACACTCCTATACTGGGACAACTGCTGCTGTTAGATTATTTTTGAGTTTTTCTTAACACAACATCGTTTCTGTTTTAAATTAAATTGTTTATCTAGTACCTATGTATTTACCCCCGAACAGACAATATTATATACCTCGCCTACTAGGTTTTCATTAAGAACAACAATGCCCTAAGATACTAACATCATCTGTGACCATGGGATTGAAAATTGACCACCGCTGCAAATTATGATCGTCTTCTATATGATCTCGATTCCCCAGTCTTCTTTGATCATGTCTGATGCCTTCTCGCCGATCATGATAGTGGGGGCATTCGTGTTGCCGCTGACTATCGTAGGCATAATTGAGGCGTCCTCGACACTCAAATTCCTGTGCCATACTTGTTAATATGCACCTTGCAGTCAATCAACACACTTCTATACTTGGACAACTGCTGCCTTCAGATTATTTTTGAGTTTTGCTAACACAACATCGTTTCTATTTCAAATAAAATTGTCTATCTCTTATGTATTCACCCCCCGAAATGACAATATTATACCTCGCCTACTAGGTTTTCATTAAGAACGACAATGCCATAAGAAACTAACATTATCTGTGACAGAAATAAGTGACCATGGGATTGAAAATTGACCACCGCTGCAAATTATGATCGTCTTCTATATGATCTCGATTCCTCAGTCTTCTTTGATCATGTACGATGCCTTCTTGTCGATCATGATAGTGGGGGCTATCGTGGGTATTATCGAGGCGTCTACTACTCTCAGATTACTGATGCCGTACACTTTGAGACTGGAGACCACCACCGCGTCAGTTCGACCAAGTTAACTTCGAGACACCACGTAACTCAAGGCTTGAGTATTATCAGTACATACGCGATCACGTTCTGTCGCGGAGTTAACGTGGTCGGACTCTTACAGCTACACCAATCTTGCAAGTCGAAACTAACCTATCTGTGACAAAAATAAATATCCAGGATATTGAAAATCGACCACCGCTGCATTTCACAATCGCCCCCTAACTGATCTCGATTCCCCAGTCTGCTTTGATCATGCCCGATGCCTTCTCTCCGATCATGATAATGAGGTATTCTTGTTGCCGTTGATGCCATACTGATAAATATGGACCTTGCAGTCAATCAACACACTCCTATACTGGGACAACTGCTGCTGTTAGATTATTTTTGAGTTTTTTTTCAACACAACATCGTTTCTGTTTCAAATCAAATTGTTTATCTAGTACCTATGTATTTACCCCCGAACAGACAATATATACCTCGCCTACTAGATTTTCATTAAGAACAACAATGCCTTAAGAAACTAACATTATTTGTGACCATGGAATTGAAAATTGACCACCGCTGCAAATTATGATCGTCTTCTATATGATCTCGATTCCCCAGTCTTCTTTGATCATGTCTGATGCCTTCTCGCCGATCATGATAGTGGGGGCATTCGTATTGCCGCTGACTATCGTGGGCATTATCGAGGCGTCCACTACTCTGAGGTTTCTGATGCCGTACACTTTGAGTCTGGCATCCACCACCGCGTCTGGATCTGTCGCTGGACCCATCTTGCAGGTTGAGGTGGGATGGTAGATGGTGAAGGTGAAATGGCGGATGGAGCATTCCCAGTACTCGTCTGTGTCGAATTCGTACTGCCTACAACCTGGATTGGGCAAAAACAGCCATCAGTTAGTCAGAAATTTTTATTAATACACAGATAAAAAGGATTTCTTCAATCAAACAAATTCATTTTCTTGAAAGTAAATTGCTTCGTACAAGAATTTTCCATTCGAATGGAGCAATATACCCTTGTCTCAAATCAATTGGCTTGCTTGCTTCGTTTCCTGAAATTTATTGATGTGAATTTGCTCATCATAAACAGTATATTTGTTCTTCAAGAAAACCGCCAATATAAGTTAGATGAATTCCAATTTATGTTGATTCAAGAAAATCTCTGCTTGTCGCTGAAAAGCTCGCAGTGATGTACAGCGGTGGGAGTCAACTGAACGCCTGCGCCCATTCGACTTGTCACTCGTTAGCCGCCATTTGCCGTTGTCGCTGTTGTTTCTCAAGACGGTACAAAACATTTTTGTTCTTCAATGGTGAGGTGTTCAAGAATCGAATGTGCTGAGTCATGGATAATAATGGTGTGGTATCATCTCCACAGCAATGCGGCATTCAACATTGCGAGGGTTTTTGTAACATGGTTTTACTGAGGTGTTTTCCCTTCCTATTTCATCGTAAACTTATGTTAAAAACCCTATTCGTTCAGCAGAGACGATTTGACCAGTCGCATTTCATTCGATGAACGCCCTAATAGGTAGGTAAAGGTAGGTAATTGTCCATTCTTTGATTAGAATGATGATTGAACCAATGATCATATATCTCCTTCTTTCATGTTTTTACATACCTAACAACTTATATACTTGCTCTTTTGTCAAACTCAAAATTTCTTGTAACCAGAAAATATTTGATTGTCTTGAAATTTCGTTTGTTTTCGACAATGCCTGGCTGATGTGCTGAATGACAATTTTGTTTCTTCTGTAGCCAGTTCTATAGGTATACGGTTAATGATTCCCATTTAACGAGCCACTCTGATGCAAAATACGCTAGACATTTTTGAAATGATGATTTTTGTCTTTTCTCTAGGTTCTCGGGGTTCAACATTCAAGCACAGTGATATTCTGGAGAAGAAGACAAGGACAGCAAATCACAGAAATTTTGAAAAATGAATTTACCGCCTCCTAGATTAAGCTACAGACAGTATTTGATGATTTTACTATATATGTATATGTTTTCATTTTTGTTATGTACATGTTTTCATTTTTGTTATATTATAATACTCTAATAGTTAGCTGTATTTTGATTTCGTTCAAAATGATGATGAAAATGAGGATCTTCTGAAAAAATATTCACTCATTATAATAAGACAACATGTCTTTGTGATAAGCTCGAAATTCTTTCTTCGACTAATACGTACTATGATATGAAAAAAGAAATATTCATTCGAATCAAGATTTTCTCTTATGAATGAGTCATGAAAGTTCTTTAGAAAAATCAAACAAATATTTGGTTGGACCTATTCAAGAACGCCATATTATGGTTAATTGTATATATGCTGTTCCGCATTGTATCAAGAAATCGCTTTTATCTGTGTAAGTTCAATGCTGGATTTAGATATTCAATTAAACCAGGTCCGGATGAAGTTTCATGCTGGGTTTATAGATTCAATTAAATTGAACCAACAATCAGATATCAACAATTCACAAGAAAACAACGAATGATTCTGAGTGATTATACATATTTGATGTTAATTGAGGACAAGATGTGGAATTTCTTTTGAATTGAGATCAAAATAATGTTGAAAAGTGTTCTTGGTATTCACAACCAATGAATCCATTAGAATATTCCAAGGAAATAACTCTGAACCTAAACCTCACCTATTTGTGAAATTATGAAAAATTGCTGGCATTGCTGCCTTCCACGAACGTATTCTTTTATGTAGCATGCAAATATACGGAGAAACCTCTAGGGGTTGTTACTTGGACTGGTCTGAAAATATTTTGTCTTCATGATTTCTGAAATTCTTAGAATAGGTATATAGTCCAAGGATCACCTCGAATTTTTGCCGTATGTTCAATAAATACCCTGTATATTTTCACGAAAGGATATTTTCCGATTATTACTCAAACATTGCTTCTATTTACAAGTTTATCAAACTCACCAATTCAAATGTCCTCAGTCAAAACATTTTAAATTATTAATATTTCAAATAATCATTCAAAAACCTATGCCTCGTCAATCAATGTCAAAATCGTATTCTATGATTAATAATAGTTATCTTTGCATCAAGGGCGTGAAATAGGCTTTCATGGGCCGTACGGCTATAGGTCCATGAAAGCAAGTTACGCTTGAAATACATAAAACATTTTATGCATAATTGGAATATCCGATTTTCCATTGTGAATACCTATTCGACGTTATCATGGTAACTCTGTAAATTTTTTGAAATAGGAGTGACTAATACATCCGCTGTCAATTAATGTCATCACAGATAACTCATTTTGGGTTCCATCATATCCTCTCGGAATTATCAAGAGGACTGTAATATTTAGACAAGAAACCATGATAACTACATAAATGTCCTAAATGATACAAGGATGCCGCGCGGTAAAGAAGCTAGTAAAGTAGCCCGCAAAATCGGACGGTAAAGTGCTACTTCACGCCCGGTCATGCATATCCTAATATTTGTCTTTGTGGTATAAACTATAAGTCATTTTATAAAGTATCTACACATCCCAACTAGCAAAGATGAATGAGTCACATTTGCGACAATATCATAAGATCCTTGAATTCAATTGGTTCATTCGTTACCTGGAAAGGGTATCTTATGAGGCCTGGACTTGAACCTCTGGAAAGCCCTAGTGCTCGACACGTTCAGCGCTATCCTGATTCCTTCTATCAGCACTTGAACGTCCTCTTCGTGGGTAAAGTAATTTGGGTTGATGTCCGGATATACCGAGGGGTCCCTGGACTTCAGCATGATGCGCCCGGTACTCCTTAGGACAGTCACAGATATTAGAAAAAATAGGAATCTCTTATCTCTTAATCTCTTAAAGCTTGTTCAATATTAGTTTAGGTAGTAGTTTATTATAATTTAAGTAGCGCTTTAAGTTTAGATCTTCAATTATTGAATTCACATCAGAATATGTAGTGATAGAAGAAGGGCTCGTCCTGATATTTAGTTCATTTATTTTCGCGCATCAATAAAATCACGTTGTACTCTGTACTTATGGTGCGCATGTGTCGCTTATGGAAGAAAAGGAACCGAAAACCAGTATGAAATGGCCTTGAGTAGTACTCACTGCAAAAGACTCCGCGTACCGAACAAAATTCCAAATCAACCGCAAACTTCTGTGTTATAAAATCATGACCCGTAAGTGAATTGACTCGTACCTTGAGACTAATGACCCTGATAGGTGATTAGAGCAACAGGGGCCCCTTCGTATCCCATCCCATCCCTAATCAAAAAATAAGCCATCCAGGATTTGAGGAGGAAAAAATAAGGTAAGAGTGAAACGCGATTTTGCGTCTTTGATATAGAGAATTAATAGAAGTTAATTTCTTGCACAGAGCAGGAATACGAGTCATTGTCAAGCAGATAAGGGGGCAACCGAATGATGGATAGAACAATTTCAGAACAACAACAATTTCGCGATGGATGGTTGTTGGTTCCTCAGGGTGTAATTTTAGCAATATCCTCATCGACAGCATTGACTTTCTTTCGTCGTCAGTTCTTAGTTTCCTAGAAAGAAATTCTGGAGGAGAACCCAGTATGGAGAGTACTATCTTCGGTGGCGAAAGCCATATTGTCTCTCATTGATGATTCCTGAGGTTTCCAGATATTTGATGAGATCAATGTTGATGTCATTCTCCTGCTCCATCACTTTGGAAATAACTGATAACAGGGCAAAAGGCCCATAGTAGTTAAGGCAGAGTTTCGTTTACTTTTTTGGGAATTGGTTCAACTCTAGCTATTTTTCAGCAAGATGGAAAAGTACCTACTCGACTTGTACGAGACGGTAAATAACTCGGTGTCAATTCTGGAGCACACTTTTTGAGAATAATGAGTGAAATTCCATCAAAACTGTCAGTCTTCTTCGTTTCAAGACCAAGCATAATGCGCCTCATTGTTCGTTGACGAAGATTTCGGGCATTCGACATTCAACAGGTGGAATGTCTGGTGGCACTTTTCCCTGAGAATCCAAGGTGGAGTGTGCTGCGAACATCTCTGCAAAAATGTTTGCTTTTTCTTGTGATGTTGTTGCTAATGTGCCGTCGACTTAGAAGAGTTAATGAAATTCTTTCCGACTGCTTTAGCGAAGGACCAAAACGAACGGGGGCCATGTATGATTGTTTTGATGAATCGTCATAATCCTGGCTCCAACATATCCTGCTCTAGTAACATGGTTAGGATTTTTGTGCCAGCGATGGTAGGCTGTTTGTTTTAAGGCAACAGCTCTAGAACATTTCTTGTTGAACCAGGGATTCGAAGGTATGTATGTGTCTATTCCAAGAGTGATGATCTCTGAAATTTCCGCAGCACACTGTGACGGATCCTATGCATATGATAAGAAGCTATAAATTGGTAGATACCTTCACTCTGGCCTACTTCCAGAAGTACCGAAAGTACCTAACAGCACGACTCGATCCGCAATTCATCAATCATTTTTTCTATTCGGTTTATTTTGTTCTGATATGATTGGCTTACCTGGGCCGCAGCAGGAGCGGCAGCATCGTCCAGGTCTCTGCGTTCTTCAGCGGCTTGTAGACCGTGTTGAAGACGCTGTCTCGTAGGCCGGTGATCTTTTTCACTTGGTCCGAGTCTGAATTGACGCTGCTGGGGGCGAAGTGGAACTGGATGTCGGGCCATTGGCCGGATTCCGGGGCATACTTGGTGTTGACGAAGGCCAAACCTGCAGGAAAACAACAGGAAATTCCAGTATTTTCAACCGTGGATTCTAACACTTAGGCCTGTTGACCCATTGTATCTAACTTCGAATATGCCGCTATTGATTTGATCATATACGACCCATGGTCCTAATATAAGGGCCACTTCAAATACCATCCGAGTAACTGGAAGCACTGCTGCTCACAGTACCAGAGGTTCATTCGAAACATCCTTTTCGCTTAGGTTCCTGAAGACTACTCTTCTGAGCCCTGATCTGGTCCATGAAGGGGGCCAAAAGTTTCCCTTTTCCCGCGAATAATGAGAAAAGGGGTTGTTTCAGCTTTGTGGTGCCCACAGCTTAGAGCTCTAGGGCTGAGATATCGTTATCTACACCATATAACCTTGGTGCAATGCATATCTCATCACGGGTCCCCGTTCCTACAACTTGGATCAGGTTGCCATAGCCTTGTTTATCAATCAGCAGTCACATAAGCAGATGCTCACATATGGTCATATAAGCAAAAATCAAGATTTGGCCAAGAGAAGCCGATAAGGAAGATAGAGAATTGAAGAGTGGAGAGGATACCATCCAAGACTAGTTGAAGGTTGAGGAGTATCCGTATTGAAACGGATATCTTGGTGAAAATCGTATTTTTCACTATAAATGTCACTGAGGTCTGGGGCTGATCTATATTGGGGAACAATATCACTTCAGACCAAAAGATACGCCCTTCCTATGGAAAAATCTGGGAGTGATGAAAGCGTATCTGTCTGGACTTGACATGACCATCTGAAGGTGTCTCTATCCCAAGTGCAGTCTTCTTGAACAATAGAGGATTTCGATACCTGTTTTCACTTTTGAAAGATATTCGCTCTAGTCTTTTTACGAGGGATCAGCTTCTTTTCCTTACTCACCCACTTCAAAGTACCTGATGAGTATAACTTTCTGTAGGTATACAATTGATATTTCCGAAAATATATCGACCTACTTTCAGAAATGGTGATGTCTGCATACCAATTATCGTTTTTTGCTTCACCTACTATACACATTACAAGGAATTCCTGGGACTACTTAAGGAATTCCTGGGACTACTCAAGGAATTTCTGGACTTCCCAAGGAATTGCCGGACTTCCCAAGGGATTCCTGGAATACCCGAGGAATACCAGGACTACCCAAAGAATTCACATACTTCCCAAAGAATTCACTGACTCCCCAAATAATTCCAGGACTTCCCATACAATTCCCGGACTTTCCATACAATTCCATATTGCCATTTCCATTTCGGACTCCTATGTTCGATATACAGGGCAGAGCGACAAAGTTTGACGCTGATTCTCATCAATAATTCGAGTACCTACTTATTCAAAGATATAATATCTCGTGATAATAATATATCGATTTCAAATTCAGTTTATATTTCACAAATTAGTTCATAGTACCTTCCAGTGCAAATTAATTGAGAAGTTCAGATGAATTCTTTCTACTTATTTTTTCCACTTGCTTCACTTCGATTGGGTTAATCTGAGGACAAAGCTGATACACTGAAAGAAACTAGTATTGTGACAAGTGAATAAGGCGAATGAATGGAAATGACATGATATAAATATATTTTATTCTAGTAGATATTCAGTTCATGTGATAGTGAATAAGTTCTAATAAATTCATCACCGCAAGTAGTTTGTCATTTTTAAATTCGATAAAACCAAGGATAAAACACAAGCTCCGAATAAGCGTGATTATACAGACTGCCCAATGAATTCACTGACTTCCCAAGGAATTCTTGAAATTCCGAAAGACTTCCCGAGAAATCCCCATCTCGGGTACACTGGACTTCCCAAGTGATTCACCCCTTGGTTTCCACTAACCTTCTACTCCTCCCAGTGACGTCATCGGCCCTTTCTCGTGCAGGATATACTCCATCGCGACTTGCATCGTTTGGTACCGTTTTTTGGTGAATGTTATGGGGTCGTCCACAATGAAAGTGAGGCCACCTAGACCTACGTGATCTTGAAGGTTGTAGCCCACTTTTAGACCGCTCATCACTGGAATATTCAGTGACTCCAAGTGATCTCTCGGCCCTTGAAATACACCAGAATGAATTATACCACGGTCAGGCGCGTATACAAGGGGAGGAGGTAATGGTGTTAATTACCCTCCCCCCCCCCTAGACGTACGGAGGAAATGCATTGTTTCAATCAAAATCAACATAGAAGATTCACTAAATCAATCTCATTTCATTTAACGCGTACCTAACTAGTATCTAATCTATTTTTCCTGAAAACTGAAAAATGCCAATATTGCAGCGTGCAAGTTGGTTTTTCATTTTGACAATTGGATTTATGTATATGACATCCCGCTGTGATTTTGTCATTATGACAGAGAAAAAAGTATTCCCTAACTTTTCCAGTGACAAAACGGGAACATAATATTTGAAAGCATGGCAACCAGAATTGTGAACAAATATGTCATTTTCAATTTTCAAGTATTCAATCTCTGGAAATGTCGCCATTCAGAGTCGAGTGGAGAAATTGAAGAAAACCATCAACAATTATGTGTTTTACGTATTCATCAATTCGTCCTTCCAAATTACACTCGATCATTGTTTTTCAGTGGGAGTGCTCTTGAAATTTATATTCAGATTTTTTGACTTTGAGAAAATTGAAATCAATTAAATCCAAGTGAACAAAACAAACTGAATTTGGACCTATCGATCTATATAAAGGCATTTGACCTTGAAGAACCAAAAAATTCTGCCTGCGTAGCTTTTTTGCTCTCTGTCATCCCCGCATCACGAATTACCCTCTGCCATCCTCGAAACAAAGCTGTTTACGCGCCTGCACGGTATTTCAGTCAATAATGATAATAGGTAATAATAATAAATATTATAGTGATAATCTTCATCCATCTTATATTATAATAGTTACAATTTTCACAATTGTGAAATTCTCAACATACTTAGGATATTGCGGTAAATCAAAACTTTAGGTTTCATCTATATAACCTAGCAATACTAGTTAGGTTTCTTTCTCCGACGATGTTATGAGTATTTTTGTAACCTCAACAATCCACCAGAGTTGAAATCTAGATTCGAGAGTTAATTTGCAAGTTTCTCTACAAGGAGTGCACATGTGACACCCAGTTGACGTGTTGATCAGAATCAATTCCAAGAAATTCAATTGTATATGTATCGAGCAGAAAACTACGAGCGGTGTCCAGTAATTTTTCACTCTCTTTTTTCAGTAGTCACGTCATATTTGTCTATAACTTTGAGATAGACATATGTTCGCATAGGCAATGAAATCTGAGTGAAGTGTACTCGAAATCTATCGATGTAGGTACTCGTATATCAGAAAGAGAGGCGGTCCCAATGCGGATCCTTGGGAGACACCGATGTCACAAGTCATATAATCCGATTTTCTGTTTGGTTTCACTCACCTATCCCAGATAACATGAGGATCTGAGGACTACCAATGGCACCGGCACTCATGATGATCTCCTTCTTGGCTCTTACCAACTGGGGTCTGTTATTTCGTACCATTTTGATTCCGTATGCACGCTTAGTCTTGGAATGAATCATGACTTTCGTGACTTGTGCGTGCATGGCTATGTGGAGGTTGCTTCTGTTCCTCACTGGTCTCAGAAAAGCTTTGGCAGTCGAACATCGTGATCCTCTTCTGATCGTACCTAGAAAGTGAAATTCTCATTGTTATTCCAACATATAGTTTAGTTGTCGCTTGAAGACTAGATTCAAATGATGACAATGTTCATTCCAGTATCGTGTCATCATCTAATGAGGGATTCAATGAACAGGAAACAAATGCGAGTAAATACAATCGACTTTCACCTGAAGTAGGTATCCATTTATACAACGTCAGGTCGGACTGACCTTGAAAGTATCATATCCCATTGAATGGACATTATCTTCACCTCGTCATAGTAACAATTTGATGTAGGCAATGATCGGAACAAACAATAATTATTCATATTGTTTGATGATTTGAAATTTTTGTTTTCGAACATATCCCCTATGCTACAGTATTTTCTTTTTCTTGAACTCTAATGAAGTCGTAATTTTGTCTGACATTTGTCTTTTTTACTCCTCCATCTCAGGTGTTCACAACCCTAGCAAGATATCATGTTCAATATATTATTATACAGTCGCCTTTTGCACAGGCAGTGTCGTGTCAGGCACTCTCTAGAGTCTAGAGAGCATAAACTTTGGTTTTGAATTATCTTAGTTGGTTCTTTTCTTTACATCTCACGTGAGAGTTTAGGAAATATGTTGAAGTCGCACGTATTCCAGGAGGGTTAAAAGGTTAACGAGGTGACCAATTGACCACCAGTCTCATTCTCAAAGACAGTGCTTCAAGACTCGATCTACGATGTGAAGACCACATACCTTGATAGCTTTCCTCAACTGTGGGTTTCATTCTTTACACACATCAGGCCTTCGCTCATGCTATCCTGAGCGCAAAGTTTGACATCATGAACATTCACCTGAAAGATAATGGACGAATTGCTCAAGGCTCCAGGCGGCCTACATCTCCTATATCTGGATCTGACATCTGACGTTAACGCTTTTTCTTTTGTCATCCCAGGAACCAATAATTATACCAAATGTTCCTGTTGTCCTTGGACTTCTTGAACAAAAATTACCAGCAAACGCTTCTTACGGGTCAGGACTTGGAGTATGTTCATGGCCTTTCCTTTACCACTGCACGAAAATTATCGAAAATTAGACTGCCTACACGATGTTTCACTCATTCGAACTCTTTTGGCATTTTATTGAACTATGAATGATCTTAGTGTCTTTCCATAACACGATACAGTTCAGGAAGGATGTTGAAGGTGCCATCAAATTCCCTTTAATTACTTTCCATGAGAGTGTGACTTGTTGCATTCTCCTAGAGATAGTATTTCAAGACAATCTCATTTAATTATCCATGTGAGGATCGCATGCCTTGAGAGCTAGAGTCGCTCAACTGTATTGAGTAGATTCGATTCTTTGCACACCTCAGACCTTCGTTCATGCATTTCTGGACTCGAAATTTGGCAGCATAAACGTTTGCCTGGAAGATAATAGTCGAATGATCCAAGGCTTCTGGGTCTGTACACGCGCTTTTTTTATTCCTAAACTATCTTCAAGAACCAACATTTATACCAAATGTTCCTGTTTCCTTGGACTTCTTGAAGTATATTCAGCGACTACATACAGGATTCTGTCCCTATTTGACCTTTGCGTCCGTTGGTTGAACTATGAAATATCTTTGTGTCTTTCCATAACACGAAACGGTTCAGAAATGATGTTGAAGCTGCCATTTTATTTCCTCCAATCACTTTCCATAAAAGTGTGACTTGGTGCGTTTACCTAGAGATAGTTCCTCGAGACAATCTTATACTCAATCTTCTATGTGTGTATCAGATGCCTTGAGAGCTTTCAGAGTCGCTTATCTGCATTGAGTACGTTTCATTCTTTGGACACCTCAGACCTTCAATCATTCATTTCTAGTCGCAAAGATTGACAGCATGAACCTATGTCTGGAAGAAAGTGGAGAAATGGCTCGAAACTTCAGACAATCCCAGATGCTTTCTCGTCTTTCTTCCCATCTTCGTGAATAGTTATACCGAATGTTCTACTCATTGGAGAATCTCTGTAGACTTTGTATAATGAATGTCCCAGTTGTGCGTGTACCAACCTTGAGGTAACATGAATCGTTTTTGTTGCTTCCTGTTGAAGTCCCGCACCTGGTACCCCAGTTTTCTCTCGGCCTGCAAGAAGACTCCTGCACGGTCAGGTACCCGCCTTCGGAGTGGTAGGCGGTCCTGGCCAGGTAGGGGTTCCTGTTGTCCTCGGACTTCTTGAAGTATTTTCAAGAACAACTGGGAAAAGTGGCGTTCACACGCGCCCCACCATCCCGCTCATCCCTTGCGGGTCAAGACTTTTAGTATGTTGTTCATGGCACTTTCATCTACCACTGTCCGAAAATTTTCGACTATACGATTCTTTTCCTATTCGACATTTTTTTTTGCGATCGGTGATTGCACTATAAATGGTCTTTGTATCTTTCCATAACACGGAATGGTTCAGGAAGGATGTTGAGGCTTCCATCTCAGTTCCTTCAATAACTTTCCATGAGAGTGTGACTTGTGCATGACTTATACTTAATTTTTTATGAGAGTATCACATGCCTTGAGAGCTTCCAGAGTCGCTCAACTGCATTGATTACATTTCCTTCTTTGGTCACCTCAGACCTTCGATCCTTCATTCCTGGGCGCAAAGATCAAAGATTGACAACATGAACCTATGTCTCGAAGAAAGTGCAGGAATGGCCCGTACCTTCAGACAGTCGACAGATAGTTTTTCTTCTTCCTTTCCGTCTTCAGGAACCAACAGTTATACCGAATGTTCTACTCATTAGAAGATCTCGGTAGACTTTGTATTATGAATGATCCAGTTGTGCGTGTACCAACCTTGAGATAACATGAATGAACCTGCAAGAAGGCTATGTACAAGGGAATCCTTCAACACGACTGCTATAACGTCAGGTAACCGCCTTCGGAGTGATAGGTGGTCCTGGCTAGGTAGGGGTTTCTATTGTCCTCGGACTCCTCGAAGTATTTTCAAGACCAACTCAAAAAAGTGACGTTCAAACGCATCCCTAGCGTCCCGCTCATCCCCTACGGGTCAAGACTTTCAGTCAGGAAGGATGTTGAAGCTACCATCTCATGTCCTTCAATTACTTTCCATGAAAGTGTGACTTGGTGCGTTTACCTAGAGATAGTGCTTCAAGGCAATCTTATTCCCAATCTTCTGAGTAAGTATTACATGCCTTGAGATCTTCCAGAGTTGCTTAACTGAATTGAGTACATTTCATTCTTTGAGCACCTTAGACCTTCGATCATTAATTCCTAGTCGCGAAGATTGACAGCATGAACCTATGTCTGGAAGAAAGTGGAGGAATGGCCCGAACCTTCAGATAGTCCACAGATGCTTTTTCTTCTTCCTTTCCATATTCGGGATCCAACAGTTATTCCGAATACCAACCTTGAGATAACATAAATCCCGTCTGTTGCTCCCCGTTGCAGTCCCGTACTTGGTATCCCAGCTCTCTCCCGGCCTGCAAGAAGGCTATGGACAAGGGAGTCCTCCAAGGCGATTCCTGCACGGTCAGGTACCCGCCTTCGGAGTGGTAGGCGTTCCTGGCCAGGTAGGGGTTCCTGTTGTCCTCGGACTTCTTGAAGTAGGGCAGGACGTCTTCGTAGGACCAGCCGGGGTTGCCTTGGCGCTCCCAGTGGTCGTAGTCCAGACGGTTGCCTCGGACGTATACCATGGCGTTCAGGACGCTCGATCCACCTAGAACCTATGGAAGGAATATCTGGTAGAAGTCGATGGAAGTAGAGTGGAATGAAGGGTCATTTGAAGACATCTCCACATATTCAAAGATATAATCAATAATATAGGAATATTTGAGGTGTTGTTCGAGTAGTGAATTTGGTGATTTGTCATGATTTTCCTTAGACTGAACAACAAGGATGAATCCCAGTGAGGAATCAGCTACTAAAAGCTCAGCATTGGCGCTCCCAGTGGTCGTAGTCCAGACGGTTGCCTCTGACGTAGACCATGGCGTTCAGGACGCTCGATTCACCTTGAACCTATGGGAGGGTTATCTGGTAGAAGTCCATGGAAGTAGAGTGAAATGAAGGGTCGCTTGAAGGCATCTCCACAAATTCAAAGATGTTATCAATAATTTAGGAATATCTGAGATGTTGTTTGAGTAGTCAATTGCTGAACAATCAATGTTTCTGGTGGTTTGTCATGTTTTTCGTCAGACTGAACAACAAGAAAGAATGTTGAAAAGAAACCAGTTACTGAAAGCTCAGCATACTAGTTATATTCTTGATCAGACTATACTATTCGATGAATCTTAGAGAAATATGATCAATAATTGATTCTGGTACTATTTCTGGATATTTCGAAATATAGTAATATTTATATTTTTTTTCAGGTAAACAATTGATCTTATTTGGTACAATCTTAGTTATGGGTGCACTGTGACCATTTTGGTGAGTATTAATACAAAATAGCTGTTTGATTAACAAGTAGATTTTTTTACACTAGACGTGAATATTGAACACCACGTCGTTTGTAAAAAAACTGTCCCTTATTGTATGAGTAGAAATGTACGCAAAAACTCATATTTCGACTAAATAAACTAACCATATTCATGGGAAACTGGAATTTGGAATATTGGTGAAAAATTTGTAGGGTGAGGTATTTTTATGACAAAAAGTGCCGATACAGGGTGTGTCAAAATTAAGAATCAAAAATTTCAGGGGGTTATTCTTCAAGTCAAGATAGTATTTGTTTTATTCAATGAACATGTGTCCATACGCTCTGTTACCGTTCTACAGAGCGTTGAACTCCACAAATTTGTTAATTTTCTCCAAAGTTTTCAGTTTTCGAGATATCCAGATCAAATTTGGAACATAGGTAGTTGTATAGGATAGGTACATGAGTTTCGTTTCAGAGTTCATATCATACAGTAAGTCGAGTGATTTTAAGAATTTACAGGGAGATATTTTTTCATGGGTTGAGCCAACGTGTTCCAACTGTGATCTGAATATCTCGAGAACTGAAAGAGCTACAGAGGAAAGAATAAAATCATTTATAACTTCAGACGATCTGTAAATTTGTACCGATTGATATTGGTTTGCAGCTACATATTCAACGATAAAAGTCTTAGTTTGACCTGAAAAATGAGCCTCTGAAATCTTGATACTGTACTTACGAACACCCTGCTGATTAGTGTTCGATACAAGAATCGCTATTGTATCAAAAGAAAATTTGTATGTGTTTTGTATTCTTTAATGAAGCAATACAGTCGAAAAATTACTATTATCCAAACTCGATAATGGAAGAATCTCCCGCAAAACACATAAACCGTGGGGTTCGGCCGTTACCACCAATACAACAAGGCCTGCATGCTCCGTGGGTGACGTCACTTAGTGAGGCCTAACCTGCGGCTCGAAACGACAAGCGCTTATAGCGCTATAAGGCGACCGCGTATTTCGATTTTAGTTTTACAACAGCATTGAGCCGATTTTGCTGTTTTTTGAAGGGCTTCCGGTTGAAAAAGGATGCCAGTCGTCAACTGAGACCTTCTTCGCACCCCATTCGATTTTATCATGGAAAAACGAAGTTTTAAAGCAAAAACCAGGATAAAACACAAATATCCACCTACAGCAACCCATTCGAATTAAATATATTGTGGAATAATTGTGGTGAAGGTAAACTTCACACCTACTTATACAGGGCCCGCAGAACATAACCTTATCGTGAGATTGATGGAAAATGTATTTTATTTTGATTGACATGCCGTTTGTTACAATTACCTATAATTATTTTAGAGAATTCCTATTACCTGGGAAAATAACCAGTGAGTGTTTCCAATTTTCTATTGTTGGATTTTTCACCCAAGTGGATCGTTACACTTGAAACCGTAATTTTTAAGGGTAAAACTGCATTTATCATGCGATGTTTTTTTTTGAAAATTTTTTTCGGTACTCACGTATTCATTTCTGATAAACCGAATGTTATAATGAAAATGTGAACAAACCACTATTTATTGAAATATTTCAAGAAAAAGTTCGAAATTTCGCCTTCTTTCTCCCCTTGTTTTGGGGGCATTTGAAGCTACTTGCTCTTATTTTGTCATTGGACACTTTATATACTCATGATGTACTTTGATGGCACATTTTTTTATAGAAAATTCAACAGGAAATATGATTTTTATGGCGAGTTTTCCATATTTAGTGAACAAGCATTCCAGATGACGAACATTTAATCAATAGTCAATCAAAATACGAGATGTCAAATGTCAATAGATTGCTTTCGAATGACATTACACACGCCAATATTTTGAATGATATTCTTCCTTCTTTTCACTAAATATGGATTAATCTCAAGAAAATCATCTTTATAGTTGGATTATATATAAATTGTCCAATATGATGAAAAAAGAAGGGAAATTTGTTCTAAATGCCATCCAGAAGACAGGTGAAAAAGAAGGTGAAATTTGGAACTTTTTAGTCAAATATCTTCATGATAAATATCATGATGAATGCAGTTTTACCTTCTTAAGTAGAGTGTTTGTAGTTCATGTTAATATGATAGTTGCAATTTGATCATTGGAATGAATACTGCATTCATTGCCACGAGGCAAATGACCGTTTTCAGAAAGAAATTTGAGAATGAGAATTAAAAATGCCCGTTTATTATGAACATTCAAGAAAATTTCCTCGAATTCAGAGATGATTTTGTTGACTATAATATACGAATACAAAACTAACTGCAAAATCAAAGCTTTTCTATTTTTCCTCTACTTATACTTTTTATGAGAGAGTAATTGTCTTCTATTATTAATTCATCATTATAAATTGAGCTCTGTTTACTACTGATCTTAGATTGAGTAAAATCCTCGCGTTGAATTGCATATACCCACATTTTCGATTGTTCCTCGTCCAACGGGAAACTAAAAGCATGAACTTTTGAACCGCTCACATAATTCCCCCGACAAAAGGGAACACAACACATGGAAGGCATTGTTATTTCGCCGATCACAACACAAAATATTTCACAAAACATTAATTTTTCCGCCAATTATTTTGATGAATAAACAACAAAAGAACTCGGGACCGTTTCAAAAACATACGTGAATCACCGATGAATTAACACGAACTGACGCGTTACTCGACAAGCGATAAAATGAAACACTGGCCTCTCTTTGTGACGTCACGAGCTGTTTATGTCAGAGTCTGCTGACCTTGTTGTATCGGTGGTAACGGTTCGGCGCGTTCGAAGTTCGTTTGAAGTCCGTATACACTAACGGACATTCCTTGCTCGAGGCGCTTCAACAGTTTTCGGATGAACATTACCTTCCCTCTGGGCCAGTTGCACCTGTCGCCGACCATCGCCAGGCAGTATTGCGACTCCTCGTTGGGCGGCGCCGTCTGGTACATCCAGTCCATGGGCGACATCTGCAAGTAGCCGCTCAGGCTGGGCACGTCCGAGATCTCGCTCTCGTCGCCGCCCGCCTCCACCAGCAACACTGTCCAGTTGGCGGTCTCGGAGAGGCGGGACGCCACGACCGCCCCCGCCGATCCGCCGCCCACCACGATGAAGTCGTACTCGGGACGGACCTGCAGGGATAATAATGATGATAATAATGATAAACGTCTTCATTCACCAAAGTATGGACAAACAAGGATCTAAGTGGAGATACGATATCACAATAATTATTGGTGAAAGGGCGGAGTGTCAGCCTAAGCTGTTTTCAAACTCAACCATTGTACACGAGATGATAACACAAAAAAGAAGTGTCATGGAAATGCCACGGAAACGTCACGGAAGTGTTACGGAAATACCACGGAAGTGTCACGGAAGTTTAACGGAAATGTTACTGTTTCGTGAGGTTTCCGTGACACTTCCGTGACGTTCCAGATTTCCGTGACACTTTCGTGGCACTGCCGTGATATTTCCGTGACACTTCCGTGACATTTTCGTGGCATTTTCATGACATACCAAATGCTGGCCTCTGATTGGCTCGGCCTAGAGCATACATTGCCCATCTACTGTCGACAATCCTTAATGAGTGGCTAAGGTTCGGTATTAGGTAATTTTGACGTCTAACTGAATTAGGTATAGCTTCAACCTTTTCTTGAAATTATTAATTGTATGTGATCTAAATTCACTAGAGTAGGTTATAATGTTTCGGTGCCATGTACCAGAAGCTGCGAGTGAAGATTGCAGTCTTGTGTTTGGGAATGACTAAAATAGATTTGTTACGAGTTGCAAATCTATTTGTATCTGAAAATGATGTCACTTTTTTCAAAAGTAATCAGGCGTGTTTGTCGTCAGTACATTATGGGTGAAAATCAACAGGTGCAGAGTTCTGAGTTTCTCAAGCTTGAGCCAACCTGATTCCTTCATTGCTGATGAGATATGGTCATATTTTCGAACACCGAAAGAAAACCGTAAACAACTATTTTTGATGCGTTGCAGGCGCAAAGAGTCAGATTGCCGCAAGGCAGGTCCATAAATACTATCCCAGTAGGAAACTTCAGAGATGATGAGTGACTCACACAGTTTGAGTTTGACTTTCGAGCTGAGTAGATTCCGATTCGGATACAATTGTCTGAGTACATTCAAGGTTGTTTGACTAAGGAAGTTCACATGCTTTGTGAAACGAAGCTCAGAATCGAACCACAGGCCTAGATTTTTCATTTCGGAAACTACAGGTAGTATATCATCGTTAATTCGAATGTCCAATAAATTTTGAGTTTCATTTATAATTTTGTTCGGTCCAAATAACAATACTGCGGATTTTTAAGAGTTGAGTTTCAACTCATGTGCCGAAGAAATGTCGAATAACGTCTGGAGATCGCGATTAATGGCTAGCTGGACAGAATCAAAATCCTGCAAACGAAGAGAAAAATATAACTAGGTATCGTCTGCGTAGTGGTGAATATTGCTCTTTTTGATTGATTGGTGAAAATCGCATATGTAGATGAAGATTCGGTTTTTGTCCTACAAAAGCGTAAAAAACTCTTGCTACATTAGTTGAACTTCCAGCAGGCGCGCTGTCGTAAAATTAACGGAAGTACGCCTAATATCTTTCCCTACTTCTATCCACCAGTGGCGAGCATCGAGCTCGGAGTTAATCGAGTATCAGTATTTCTCCAAACTACAGACGTATCAGGTTTTCACGAAAGTGTGACCCTTTGATATTTGAAAGAAGAGAATTATTGCTTCCTCTTATTTTTTTTTACAATTGCATTCCCTCGTTGGTCCCAGCAGTAGGACCAAACGCCCCATAAGTCGAAACTTGTGTGGGGTTAGGTGAGCATACAAACACAAATATCCATGTCCTAACTAGGATTCGAACCTATGTCTCGGTGGGAGTCCCCAGCGGAGTCCCCATACGAACTCAGCGCCTTCACGCTCTCGACCACCAAGCCGCCTCTTCTTCTTCATTTTAAACTGTCATATCGTGATATTCTTCTCGATACTACATAGCCCGTAAGTTGGAAGAAGTACTGTTATATAATATCCATCTTTATGCCTTCACAGCAATCTTTCAAAATACAAGGTGTTCATGAAAGATATTCACAGGAACTCACCACGGATTCCTCAGACTAAAACAATTTGATACCAGCAATGTTAGCTCAGTACATAGCTGCTTCGTTTGGGCGCTAGACGTTAATCAATCAATCTATCGATTTATTCATTGTTTCCTAATAATTTGAATCTCGCGCCGATCTCTGATTGGTTCAGTGGGCGTGGCCTTTAACCAAATGCTGGCCTCTGATTGGCTTGACCTGATAGCTGTATACTCTACTCTTGTGGCCCCGCACCCAGAATATGTGTTGGACCAAGCTTTTGAGTTGAGGACCAACTTACATTTGAATGTTCTTGAGATAAGTCTCGAAAATCCCAGAACTTTCAGAGCCGCTTGGCTGTTCGAACAAGGCGAATTGAGCCGTTCCCTGATTTTTGTGTACGCAGGTAAGGAGGGCCTGATGTATTCCCACTTGGGATACCGATGCATGCTCTCCAAGACCAATGCTCAGATCGACCTCAAGGCGCATTCCATGTATTCCCACACCTGCTTAGTCATGAATTTCAGATTCGGTTCTGGCGTTTCCCATTCTTTCCAAGTAGGGAAGTGGATGGATAAGTGCCGTTTGAAGTTGCAACAGGGTATCATGCTATCCTCGACCATTGAGAGAACCGGACAGCTTTGGAGAGTCCCGACACATATTTTCGAATGTCCGGTTTGGCCTCCTGTTCATCTGCCACTGCTTTCCATATTCGGTTGAGTGGGTAGGCGGTCCTACTGGCTTCATTTTCTCTCAAAATTTCCATGAATGCACAATTGTGCTTGCTTGGATTTAGTTGGGCACACTTGGTGTACTTTTCATCGAGTATATGAATCGATTTATATGAAAAACACCAAATGGTCCAGGAGGAATACTATGAATAGTGTTCCAATCCTGGACCATTTTCTGCTAATGGCTTATATTGTCAATGATTGAAGAAGACGTTGAAATTATTCGAAGAGAGCAATAAACCTGTATCTCCCACAGAGGCCGAGATCGTTATAATGCCAGAAAGAAACATACTCCAAAAGTACAGAAGTGCCAAATAGTCGAAGAGGAACAGTTGTTCACATCCATCATTCGTGTAGCACGTTTATACTCACATGATTTATGTTGATCGGATGAGCTTCAGGGTCAAATGAGATATATCTCATGAACGTCAATCCTGCTGCAAACACTGGTACCAGTCCCAAGAATGTTAAAGGGTTGACAGCTACTCCAACTGCAAAATTGGCTACTTGTCCTATTGCAGCCAACATCGACATCCTGAAATCAGAATATTCGAGGAATCAATATTACAATTACCATGTCGTTAATTCGAAAATTCCCTACCCTTAATATCCACCGTCCAGTAGATAATATGAAAAATCGATAAGAAAAAACCTAACCATTCAGAAGTGGGGGGTAGGTGGCACGTTATGTCAGAGGGCATTCAATTATTTTTCCAATGCTAGTCTAATATGATATTTCGTGGTGAAAAGTTACTGAAAAATAGCGTTTTGAACTCAAAGATGTAATTAGAATAAACAAAAATTATTGAATTCACTCTCCTTACAGTAGATACGGTTACAAGATTTTGTGACATTGTTTCAACCCTAGATAGAATAAGAAGAATGAGCCCAGCCTACATGCACGTGTGATTTTTCCATCATTTGGTTATTTTACTTTCACAGAAACATTCTATTTGCTGAGAGGAAATTAAAAAATGAAGCATATGGGAAGATGTCCAAATAATATTTTAAAATTCACAGAATTTTCGTTGGGCTAACAATTATTTTTTCTCGTGTGTGGAAAATCAGAGAAGCAGCTCAAAATCGAGTGACGAATTGGCTGATATTGGCCATAATGTTCCTGAATATTCTAGAAAATCTCATTATATTTTGAAATGGTTCGACCGTAGCAAGGGATCCTCAGATAATTGCTTAAATAAAATGAAGAAATGTTAAATGTTATACATTTCTCAAATTACTATAATAGGTAAATGATTGAGATCCTTCTGGTTATCTTTCATTCCTTCCTTGACTTTGAAGTTTGTTATAGGTGTGAATGTTATGAATGTTATGAATGAGAAATTCAAGTTTTTTTTTCCTTTCTATATGGATCACTTCAGATTTTACATTTCACACAAAACAAATCACTTATTTTGGAGAGGATATACCATTTCAAAGAACTGCTAGCTGCTGTAGGTAGTTCCTGGTGGTACCAATGGTACCAAACTTTCCACTTACTTTATATGATCAGGATGTGAGTCATGGAAACCATCCATCCTTCTCAAAGTGGTCCAACATTTTTTCACAGCAAAAAACAGAATATCACCAAGTCGGTCGACCACAAAAATTATATTACACAAAATGTTACAATACATTTTACTATATTTTATGATCAACCGTCTTGGTGTTATTCTGTTTTTTCTTTAATTAGGACTTACTTGAAACTGCACGAAATTGTACGGGTTATTGACTTGGTTTGCTTCCTATGTCGTTCGTTGAACTCATATCCACATGTCCAGGTCGATCTCCTGGTCCAGTATCTTCGGCCTATAGTTTCTTATGCTGATCTTCTTCAACTGGTACCTTGGCACATCTCGACTGCCTATGCCAGATTTTATGCAGAGGTTGTTCCTCAAGTATTCAGACTGAGGTGAACCTACAACATAAAATTATGTTCTATAAAATTAGTCATGTCTCATCTTCGCTGTCATTTCGAAGGGGCCTATCTCGATTTTCAGCAAATATGAGTTATAAATACCAATATTCAGCCTTGGGAAGACCTTATTCGTGTTATGGCATACTGGTGTGTCTCAATATTGCAATATTAAATCGTATTAATCAGGCCTCTTACATTATCCATAGACAGGGTGTTTCTAAATTCATTCGACCGACAACTCTTGACAGGTGATAGCCCTCCTGATTCTATAATTACTGAGGTAGGGACATACGGTTTCAAGTGTTCAGTACTCGAGATACACGGTGTGTGGAAAAAATAAAAATAGCTTTTTCACAATACCTCTAGAATGATTGAATGTTTAGCATGCGAATTCGGTATATGGTTCCATTTTTGAATGGGTCATTTTTTGAGCAGAATGTCATTCTGGACATTTCATCCAGTGGGGCGCAACAGGGGGTTACGCTAACTTTTCATCCCATATTTTCTAAGCCACTGATGGAATTTCGATTATTTTCTATTTCACCTATCCATTGTTCAATTTTGTTGAAATAATAAATCGTCCTAATTTTTTTTTATCGCTTGGAGCGCACGAAAGGGAATCCCTATAATGTTCAAAGAACATCGTGCGTTCCTAGGGAGGATAGGGACAGGAGGTAGGTATTGGATTTTTTTTTTAACTTTCGGAGATTATAATATGTTGTTGGGAATACTTTCACAGGCAATGCATTCCAGAGCCTAGCCGTTCTATGGATGAAGGAGTTTTGATAAAGTGCTGTTCGCGAGGCTGTTCGACATCTTTCGAGGTTGACAACGAAAGGATGTGCTGACTGAGCTTGTCTAGTTCGTCTGATTGGTATTGCTAGTGAAGGGATGATAGCAGAGATTTCCGAAGAACATTTCCCGTGGAAGTATCGATAGGAAAGTGAAAGGTCGCCGACCTTTCTATGGTGTTCCAATGATGTCAAAGAGTGAGTGAGTGTGGCGTGAATGAGCACATTGCAAACCGCACTAAGAAGGCTGTATGCTGCTTCTGGGCATGCAGACGAGCCTTTGGAAAAACATGGGGTCTCACACCTAAGACCCTTCACTGGATATACACGGCAGTAATACGCCCAACACTTACGTACGGGTCCATTATATGGTGGACCAGTACCAATAACAGCAAGACCAACAGAGAACTGGATAAAGTCCAGCGACTGGCCTGCCTGGGAATAACAGGTGCTCTGAGAACGACGCCTACCAGGGCTCTTGAAGTTCTGTTAGGTCTGCCGCCTCTACACCTGTTCATACAACACGAAGCCATGAGAACTGCTTACCGACTCAACGGTGCAAACCAGTGGGTCGGAACAGAAGCAGATCATGGACACTCCCTCATATGGAATAAGGCAAAGGAAAACTGTCCCATCCTCATGATAAGAAGGGATAATACCTTGCCAATTCTGAACTTCAACAAAGCCCCAAACACTGTCATCCCTACGAGGGAAGAATGGAATGACACAACACCTGGCGTGCCTCCTCCTAATGAGTCAATCTGGTACACGGATGGCTCAAAATTTGGGGGCAGTTCAGGTGCAGGGGTATACAATGAAGAAACAGGAAAAGAAATTTCAGTTTCTTTGGGCGAATATGCCTCAGTGTTCCAGGCAGAAGTACTTGCAATACTCACCTGTGTCCAAGAAAACCTAATTATGAGAGGTCATAGACCAATCACTATATGCTCGGACAGCAAAGCTGCAATACTGGCTTTGCAATCCAATAGGATCACATCCAATTTGGTGTCCGAGTGCAGAAAAGCCTTGGAAAACCTGGCAAAATCAAGAAAAGTCAGCCTCATGTGGGTTCCGGGACATTCGGGAATACCCGGAAACGAGGAGGCAGACAGACTGGCAAAGATCGGTTCAGGACGGACCCCGGTCGGACCGGAACCATTCTTGGGAATACCAAATAGCCTGGCAATGTCCTCTATAGAGGAACAGCTGCAAAAGCAATTCCTCAAAATATGGAAGGACACACCAGGAATGAGACAATCGAAGCTCCACATAAAGGAACCTTCGAAGAGGCTCGCAAAAGAGGTTTTATTCCTAAACAGGCGAAACCTTAAAATGGTAGTGGGGCTCCTAACGGGGCACAACCACCTCAATAGGCACCTAGAGCTTATTGGGATCAAGGATGACCCCCTTTGCAGATGGTGCCTGGAAGATGACGAAACGTCATCACATGTCCTCACTGAGTGTCCAGCACTGACGCATCAGAGGAAGGCTGTCCTTGGCAACATAATCTTGAGGCCAGAGGACGTAAAAGAGATTCAGCTGAGGAAGCTGCTGAACTTCTCCAAGGCAGTCGGCATACCCAGCTGAATGTTGTAACATGTGGGCGCACAATGGACCCGAATAAGGAGGCCCACGTGCAGGGGGTTCACCCGCCCACCAGTGCTTCGAAGAAGAAGAAGAAGAAGAGTGTGGCGTCACCCACCAGGCGAATGGCTCTTCTCTGGATGGAATCTAAGAGCATCAGCGTATGTTTTGGTGCTGAACCCCATATGTGGGAACAGAATTCTAGAACAGGCCGTATCTGCGCTTTGTAGATCATGAGAAGCTGTTGAGGTGTAAAGTAGCTTTTCACGCGGAACAAGAATCCGAGTTTTTGTGAAGCAGCTTTTGCGATGTATCTGACATGATTATCGCATGAAAGAGTGTTGCTGATGGAAATACCGAGTATAGATATGGTGAGCTTGGTGGGGATGGTGAAGCCAGACATCACAATATCGGGCATACTGAGTTCCGCCTTTCTAGAGAAAATGCAGGCTTGAGTTGTGGTGGCATTGAAGATTGTAAAATAAAAGTTGTACAAAATTACAAAAATATTTTTCAGGCGGTACTGAAAATGATGAAAAATTACTGTGCAAACTTCCATTTTGGGTCAAATATTTCGAAAACTGTTTATTTTACCTCATTTGAAAGTATGATGCATTGTTCGAATAGAATTAAACAATGAATTCGATAAATTGAAAATAATCTAAATATCATCAGTGGCGTAGAAAATATCGGAGGAAAAGCTACCACAACTTCCTGCTGTAGCGCACCCAATGGATAGAATAGAATTTCATTTGACCAAGTAACAATCATTATGTTCTTGGCAAATCACTGAAAGTACAAAATGATTTTCAAAAGCGATTACAATTCAAAATAAAGTATATACACATACGCTATCACAAACATACGCACAACATTCTCACAAATCCAAAAATATTAATTTTGCTGTTTTCGAAATTTAATCAACACAAATTATCGAGAAGTGGGGGTATTTTGAGATATTCATTGATAGAGTTGAAACAATGGGACAGCATGTGTCTTTTCAGTTTTAATTTGAAGCGGTTATATAATTGAGAAACTTGAACTCTTTAGGCAGGAAATTTTAGATTCAAATATTCAATGAATTCATTCGAGCCTATATCGGGAAGGCCTCAACTCGTTCATTCCACGAATTTGATACTCATGAAAATCGGAGTTGGCACTCAAAGTTCTTTTATTCTTGTGACTTTCCAGAAGAGTAGAGTTGATGAATAAGGAAGGAACAGCGAGTTTTTTGACAAGGCTCCT